TAGATTGCCCAATCTTCCTTCCGAGGAGAGGCTGGTGGGTTTGAACTGCCAGTCTTCTGGTTAGCAGTCAAGTGTCTTAGGCACTATGCCACCAGAAGCATCTGTGAAATCCAATGCTTTGAAAATCAGAAAGACAGTGCAATCAGGCAATTAAAGAAGAGGAAAGTCAGCAGTTAGGGTAGACTTCTTTTTTTTTTTTTAATCTGCTGCTTGGTTTTGAACAGAATGTTAACGTCAGACTGAGAGGGCCAGTTGGTTCCATGTGATACAATTCACACACAGCTCACCTTAAGTCACAGAACAGTCTTTATGAGAACGATGGGGGCATAGGATTTAATTTACTACCTTTCCAACTAGAGTCAGTCTAACCCTCGATAAAAAATTTACACTGCCGTACACTTGGCTTTACCCAACCTTCAAAATAAGTCACTAAACTACAGTTGGGCTCTGGACAAGTCGTGATCAATAATCAAGCTTTCTGGAGTCCCTGGTAGTGCAAAGGGTTAAGTGCTCGACTAGTAACCAAAAGGTTGACGGCTTGGACCAAGTCAGAGGAGACATTGAAGAAAGTCCTGGTGACCTGTTCTCAAAGGTTATCGCCTTGACAGTCCTTTGGAGCAGTTCCACTGTGCAACATGGGGTCACCAGAGTCACAAACCACTTCATGGCAACTGGCTGGGATTTGGTTCAACCACTCAGCTGTTTCCAAAGTGACTGGTCCCTGCCTACCTTTTGTAGCCCCATCTCCTTCCACTCTCCCCTGCCCGCTGCAGCCACACAGGTGGCGGTTTCCTCTACTGGAGTTAACCAGAACCTGCTCAAGCCTCAGGATCTTTGTCCCTGCTCATACTTTAGGCCTTAAACCAAAGGGTCTCTCCTCAAAAACTCTTTTCTCATTTTGTAAACATTACTGTTCTTTCCCATATAATTCCTTTCCAAATATAGAAAGAAACCTGAGGCGCTGGCCCATATGAAGCAGAACGTGGCATCAGGATTGGAGGAAGACGCATTAAGTCCTGTGACATGCAGAAGACACAACCCTGCTTGCTGACTGAGAAGAGGATGGAGGCACTTATTGAGGAAGATCAAAGACTACAGCCTTCAGTGTGGATGACCCCTCAACATCAAGAAAACAAAAATCCTCACAAATGGACCAATAAGCACATCAATATAAATGGAGAAAAGACTGAACTTTTGAAGGATTTCATTTTACTCGATCCACAAGCTACACCCAGGTAAGCAGTAGTCGAGGAATGAGCTGATGTACTGCAAAGGGCAAATCTTCTCCAAAAAACCTCTTTAAAGTGTTAAAGAGAAAAGATGTCACTTTAAGGACTCAGGTGTGTCTGACCCAAGTCATGGTATTTTCTTTAAATTATAATAATAAAACACACACAGAACGTTTTATTGACTTTAGGTCAGGGGGATAATTACCCACATTTATGCTTTAAGATATTTCCCATCAATGAATAACAAGAAGAGATAACAGCTGTATTGGAGACGCTTGACATTCATGTGTTTGCTGCTCGAGGTTGACAACATGTTCAGCTCTCCCGTGAAACGGGTACATCTCTATTACGACTCATCACCAAAAGGTGTATGCACCAAGGTTCCATTTGGAGCCACTGACTTGCTGCCAGAAACAAACCTCAGTGCAGCGTTTATGATGTTGGTGGCAGCCGCGGACTCAATGTGCTAAAGGACTGTGGCTGTCAGCACACAGGAACCAGTAACTGGAGCCTGGAACCCGGCTTCATCCAGGAAACCCTCAAGAGGCTCCACTGACATTAGTTTCCACCCTTTAGCTTGTTCTCAGCAGCTCGGATGACTGTTACCAAAAGATTTCCCTGAGCAATTGTTTTCACTTGGTTACAGGCAGCCTTGCTAACATCTCCAGCAGCTGCAGCCTGTGAGACAGTGAAAATCTCAAAGGGTCTGGGATCTGAGTAACTGGCACTAAAAGCAGAACAGCTTGGTAGACAGAGCTGGTGGTGCTGCTGCCCCTCTGGACATGTGGCCCTGCACCGAGCACATGTTTCTGCATTACCTATGGCAGCGTTTACTGCGACCTGAGCAGAACGAACAAGACTGTCTCCATTTTGTTCTCATACTTCACCTCCATGGCATATGGTCTTCCCACCAGAAAAACCTAGCCTACCTCTCATGTTGAGAAGCTGTTCAGCAGCTAGCTTTAGAACAGGATGACTCCCGCCAACTTCAATCAAAGCCGTTCTTGCACTTGTAAAATGGTCCTGAACATTGTCAAGCCATGGTATTTTTAATTGTCTCACATGCCTGCTTCCAAAAGCTGGACAACGAGTAAGGAAGAGCCAAGAAGAACCGATGCCTATGAATTGTGGTGTTGGCTAGGAATACTGAATATACCGTGGCATGCCAGAAGAATGAAGACATCTGTCTCAGAAGAAGTATGGCCATCATGCTTCTTAGAAGCAAGGAGGGAGAGACTTCATTTCATGTGGTCTGGACGTGTTATCAGGAGGAAACAGTCCCTGGAGAAGGTCATGCTTGGCAAAGCAGCACGTCAGCACCACACAGGAGGATCCTCACTCGACAAGATGCATTGCCAGTGGCTACACCAATGGGCTCAATACAGCAACAATCGTGAGGGACAGGACGGGGCTGTGTTTTGTTCTGTTGTACGTAGGATCGCTACAAGTCACAGCCACAACGGCACCTAACAACCACCATAACAATAACAATATTCCTTTCCAATCTCACTCTTCATCTCTCTCCCTTCCATTACTCTGCTTATTTTCTTTAGGACAAGTTTCATTAATTGATTCCATTCTGTTCATTTCCTTGCTGGTTTCCTGTTTCTCTTTCTCTACTGGAAAGAAAGTTTCATGAAAGCAGAGACCTAGGTTAACTTGCTCTCCATGGCATACCTAGAGTCTAGAATGGTGACTAGCTTGTATGAGACACTCCAAAAATATGTGTTAAATGAGTGACTGAAAACATCTTTTGATCAAAAGACCCAAGGGGGCAGAGAGAATACTACTTACCTGAACCACACTTGTACAAGAATCCAAAAAGATGCAGCCTTTGGGTTCTTTGGATATTTTTTCATCTTTGTAAAAATTCATGATGTAGGAGTTGTCTGGCAGCTGAGTCAGCTGGAAGTAGCGCTTTTTGAAGGACTAAATAAAGGGGGAAATACAAGGAGCTTGTTCAAGTTTGCAGGATACCATACTCATGGGAATATTAGAGCTTTTCTAATTCCTTCAGGAGTGCTACATTTCTGGGACACATCTAGAGAAGAGCTTCATATGTCCTCATAAATGGAAAATGGCATAAAATATAAACTTAATGCAAATGGCTCTCCTCTGTGCTGTAACTGAAAGTGAGGTGTCAAGACAGGTGACAGAAACAAAGATGAGTCTTGATGTCTACTTACCCGAACAGTAACGGTATTGTTCGCGGTGCTATTAAAATTTCCTTTGTAAAGCCAGCCAGACTTGAACACTCCAGTGCCTCCTGCCCCGCCTCCGCCCTTGGAAGATGAGTGGGATGTCGTATCCTGTACAAAAGGCATAGTCAGCATCACCGCAATTTCCTTTGTGAGCCCCAGATCCTAGACATGCACTTAAACATGAGATTCCTTCCTCGCGCCCTGACTCATCCTAAATACTCATGTTCAATTTCAAAGCAAGCGTCATTCGTTTTGACTAAAAGTACTGACATTACAGTCACTGCAGCTTATGGAGAACCATTCAGAAAGAGAGCCACTCCAGCGAAAGACAGGAACTAACTCTCTTCTTGTTTTAAGCATTCGACTCTCAACAATTTACTTACTTCATCCTTATCGGCATCTTCGTGGTCAACCTCAAAGGAATGCGAAGGAAGTTTCTCTGGTTTGTATTCTGCTCTGATATCAAAAGAAAAAGAAAAAGAAAAAGAAAAAGAAAAAGAAAACCCAATACATCATGAGACAATGATTTCATTTTCTGCTGTTCCAGGGATAACAACTATCAAGGCCCTCATTTCCTTTAAAACTACTAGCGTTTCCACATCCCATGATGTCTTCTGTCCAGTAAATAAATCTCCCATCACTGTTTGCATACATGTACACATGTCTGCTTGAATTAGATTAAGGCATACAGGGCAATTTTGTATGTTTGCGAGTCTATATTTTCTTTCCTCTGTATTTTGAAGTGTAACATTAAGTAGTGACATTCTAATGGTCTTTTCTCTTTCATTTCATATGTGACATGACCAAGGATACATGATCATGTGACATGATCATTTGAAGAGCCTGCACCCTGAGGCACCATGTTTCTGAGAACCAGGATGCACTCTGACCACTAGGCTGTGCTGTTTCCTAACCACGGCCTTCCTGTCAAGGCTGCACCAAAGTGACTTAGTGGCATTTGGGTTCCTTTGTGCACTTGCAAGGCAGCACAGAAACGTTCTGAATCACAGCCTCACTGACCAGCCCCAAGTAGCAAGAGTATACACCTGGCTCTATAAATGATAGATTCAATTAGAAATAAATTCTCCTTGCCATGGTTCTACTTCCCAGCTAACTGTTGACTGGAAATCAGGCCACACCACCCCAGAGTACAGCAATTCTTGACACTCAGCCATCTGGCACATTTTACTATATAAAATCCGACGTGGAGCAGGTCCACTGAACGTTTGTTTTCATTAAGATGATTTGTATTATATAGAAACCACCTTAGAATCTATTGAGAAAAAGGCCAGAGGCACCTTTAGTATTCCCATCACAGCCATTTCCTAGGCTGAAGGTATTCCAGCTGGGCAGATGCAGAACCAACCGAGGACTCTTTACACCTACTTATGCTATTTCACATATGAAATAAAATCACCAGACTGTATTCCCATGGCGGGTAACTAAAGGTTTCAAAGTACTCTTTCCCCTCCCTCTGAAAGACAAAAAAATGCCCACTCCCAGGTTATATCAAGGAATGTTACAGCATAAAAGTACCTTTGCGTTAACTGTTAATTTATGGAAAGCCTGCGATCAGAGCCACATAGCCCTGTGACTTAAGCGTGTGCCCTCAAACATTTACAAAGGCGTCTTGGACTCTACAGAATTAGGTATGATCTCTCTTCCCATATGCTCTGTATACAAGTCTCTTGTGAGGCTTACCTGATTCTGTTATTTGTACCCTTTTCTTGGCCCTCCATCAGATTTTCCATTTCTTCAAGCAAGGACTCTAACCAGCTCCCAACCATCTCTGTCCCTAATTTTTGTTCTTATTGAGATAGAAGCTTAATATGCATTCACTGACGGAACCACTGATAAGCACTGTGAAAAATTATTATTTATTTTTTTTTTTGGTGTTCAAAATGTTAAGAGGTATCTCTGTCATATTTTATTATAACTATCAATAAACCTATTTTATTATACCTTTATAAGTTCAGGTCAGTGAAAGTTACTTGCTCTGAAAGCCAATAAATAAGAACAAGAAAGCTCTTCTACTCTTCGTAATAATAACATATTCTTCTGGATACAATACTTAATATTGAATGTTATAGATCGTACCTAGAGTCTCATATCAGTCCAAATTTCAACTTATTTTGGTGGCATAGTCTTGATGAGACTCTGTGACTGATGTTGTTGTTATGTGCCATTGAGTCAGACCCGACTCACAGAGAACCCTCCTTGGGTTTCTGAGACAGTATCTCTATGGAAGTAGATTACCCAACCTTCCTTCCAAGGAGTGGCTAGTAGGTTTGAACTGCCAGCCTTCTGGTTAGCAGTCAAATGCCTTAGGCACTATGCTACCAAAGCTCCTCTGTGACTGATAGATGAGTAGTTACAAATGGTAAAGAAGAGTAGTGGGAAATAGATATTTCCATTTTATAGCCATCACAGGATCTAGCACATAGTAATTGCTCAATAAATTATAATGGACATATATGATTATGCATGTGTGGACATGTACTATCTCACATTTCACAAATGTATGATCATACAGTATGAACTTCTTCATCTATGACTTACTTACAATAGGTTCAAAAGGAGTTACAATAATTCAAAAATATAAAAATACTAAGATAGCATAAGTTTTATACTGAAGTACATATATGAATTAAGTTGCATGTTGTTTTGTATTAAGCTGTATCTATGTATATATATAAATTTAAAATCAGACATTTGCACAAATACTGGCAGCTCTACTGCCTACTCTAACGCTGCCTGTTACAGAGAAGACACCTGAAGACCACAGTCAGTGGAAACTAGTTGTCACTGAGTGGATTCTGATTCACTGTGAACCCATGTGTGTCACAGGAGAACTCTACTCATCGATATTTTTCAAAATGATCATTAGAGTAGTAAATTTATATATATACTTATATTAGCATGAATTATACTAATTAATACATTATACTCATCATGTCATGTAACCATCATCCATAATTATTGACAAATTTCCCATCACTATAAACAAAGGGTTGACTCTACTTTGAGGAGGCAACTCTTCCCAGTTGTATTCTGAGTACTTTCCAACCTGAGAGGCCCATCTTCTGGCACTATATCAAACAATGTTCCACTGCTCTTCATAAAATTCTCACTGGCCAGATTTTTCAGAAGTACACCATGAAGTCCTTCTTCCAGGTCTGCCTTAGAATGGAAGTTCCAATCAAATCTGTCCACCATGGGTGACTGTGCCAGTATTTGAAATACTGGTGGCACAGCTTCTAGTATCAAAGCAACACCCAAGCCACAGAACATGACAAACAGACAGATGAGTAGGAAAAGCTAGTTGCATCCTCAAAGTAGAGTCGATCTTAATGATGTGGATGGAGTACAGCTTTCTGGACCTTCATTTGCTGATGTGGAACAACTCAAAATGAGAAGAAACAGCTGCATATTAAGTACGAACCTAGGAAAATAGGAAGTTGTAAAAAAAAAAAAAATGAACTGGAATTCATAAAGATTGATATCCTAGACATCAGTGAACTAAAATGGACTGGTAATGGCCATTTTGAGTAAGAATATGACATGGTCTACTACTCTGGAAATGGCAAACTGAAGAGTATGGCATCATTATTAATAGTCAAAAAGAACATTTCAAGATCTATCCTGAAGTACAACATTGTCAGTGACAAGATCATATACATATGCCTCCAAGGAACATCAGTTAAAACTATTAATTTATATTATTCAAATTTACACACAGACCACTAGTGTCAAAGATGAAGAAATTGAAGATTTTTTACCAACTTCTGCAGTCTGAAATTGACCAAACATTCAGTTAAGATGCATTGATAATTACTGATGTTTGGAATGTGAAAGCTGGAAACGAAGAAGGATTGGTGGCTGTAAAATACAGCACTGGTGACAGACGTGACAGCAGAGATTGCATGATAACATTGTACAAGATAAAGGTCTTATTCATGCAGAAACTATTTTTCAACAACATAAACGGAGACTATACACATGGACCTCGCCACATGGAATACACAGGAATCAAATTGACTACATTGGTGGAAAAAGACTGGAAGAGGTGGATATCATCAGTCATAAGGAGTCAAGGGGCCAACATTGGAACTAACCATCAATTGCTCCTAGGCAAGCTCAAGATAAAGCTTAATTAAATTGAAATAAATCCACGAGAGCTAAAATATGACCTTGAGTATACAGCATTTGAATTTAGAAACCATCTTAAAAGTAGATTTGAGTCACTGAACACTAAGGAGTGAAAAGCACATAAGTTGTGGGATGACATCAAGGTCATCACTCATGAAAAAGCAAAAGGTCATTACAAAAAGAAAAAAAAAAGGAAGAGAGAAAAGGCCAAAAGGGATGTCAGAAGAGACTCTGAAACTTGCTCTTGCACTTAGAGTAACTAAAGTGAAAGGAAGAGATGATGAAGTTAAAGAGCTGAGCAGAAGGTGTCAAAGGGTGCCTCAAGAAGACAAAGTAAAGAATTTCAATGAAATGAGCAGAGGCCTGGAATAGAAAGCTGAAAGGCAAGAACGTGCTTGGCATTTCCCAAGTGGACCAATGCACCGCGTGCACAGCCACCACCCATCTGCCAGCGGAGGCCTGCACGTTGCTGTGATGCTCAACAGGTTTCAGTGGAACTTCCGACTAAGATGGACTAGGAAGGAAGGCCTGGTGATCTGCTTCCAGATATTCACCCAAGGAAAGCCCTATGGGTCACAGTCATCTGAGCCCTATTGTGCACGGGGTGGCCAGGAGTCAGAGTCAATCTGATGGTAGCTAAAGCAAACAAAAAATACACCAATTACCATTTCAGAGTTAAGGCTTCCAATCCCATCCCTTCCACTGTGTGCCTGTGTAAGGAACTCCTGTGGGATGGATACGCAGTCCCTGAGTGGGACAGAGGACTAAGGCATTTGCCTGCTGACCAAAAGGTTGGCAGTTCAAGTGCATCCAGAGACCTCCTTGTAAACAATCAGCTATTGAAAGCATTGTGCAAAAGAATGAAGCTAGGCTCATACCTCACGAGATATATGAAAATTAAATCAAAATGGATCAAAAGCCTATACAAAAAATAAAATCATAAAATTCCTAGAAGAAAACACAGGGGTATGGTTTTTAATAATAGATTCTTAGATTCAATACCAGAAGTACTAGCAAGAAAACACAAAACAGATGTATTGGACTTCATCAAAATTAAAAATTTTTACTCGGCAAAGGACTTTAGCAACAAATTGAAGAGACAACCCGTAAGAGGGGAGAAAATTCTTGGGAACCATGTATCTGACAAGTGTTGTGTCTCCTTTCTGGACAGTGAGAATTCTACCAGCAAACCTTCTGTTTTCTATTTTAAAAATCATGAAAAGATTAGCACCTCTGGCCATTGACTTGAACACTGCTATAGACTGAACTGTGTCTCAAAAAATATGTTTTCTAAAAATGATTTCTTTTTTTTTTTTTGCCAGTGGTTACAAGCCCATTTGGGAATGAGCTGTTTTTGTTATTTTAGTGAAGCAGGATTAGTGTAGGGTGTGTCTTGAGCGGATCTCTTTTGAGGTATAAAAGAGATTAAAAAGTGAGGATAAAGAGAGATGGAGAAAGATAGATACCAAGACACATGGAAGTAGAGCTGAAGAGAAAAGGACCTTCCTCCAGGGCGGGCAGACAGAGAAAGCCTTCCCTAGAGCCAGCCCTCTGAATCTGAATCTAGAATCTTCTCACCTTATAAACAGCAAGGGAAAAAAAAAAACAAAACAAACTTGTTAAAGCTACCTGCTTGCAGATTTCTGCTATAGCAGCATTAGATAACTAATATGAGCATCCTTCCCCTCAAGGAGCAACGCGACATCTGTAAGAACTTTTGGGATCCTGAGATAAAGAGCTCATCAGGGTCCTGACTCTCTGGTGTTTGAGTCAGACATTAGCAGTGAATTCCACTGCTCACTTCTACATCAGAATTACCTCCGTCACCTACCTAAGGGGCACCAGGAAGCTTGAATGCCCCATTGGTTATTAGCTGTGATGTTTGAGGCCAAGTTACTTACTCCCCAAGGGCTCTAGTTTGTCTGTAAAATGGGGATAACAGTTCCCATGCTCTAGGGTTTGGAGTGGCCAATGGGATCATGGACTATGGCACCCCAGCACGAGAAAGGAAATGTTCTTTTTACTTACTTATTATTTTAAAATTATTCCATTCAAAATCATCACAGCATAAAACTAGTCATACTTTATTTGCTCTCCAGGCACAAAACATATGAAATATATGAAATGTTCATCTTTGTGTCAAGTAAATTATGGTAAAAAAATTTTAATGTCCTGTATTTCTGCATGCCACACAGTGGATTGATGAAATCAGTGGCCTTGTGTATTTTCATGTAGTTCCTGCCTCCTGGCAAGTCCAAGTTCAGTGCTGGTTTTCATTTCTCCTGTGGGAAGGCTTTCTGGTTTACACCTCCAGCCTGAGATAAGGTATCTCTCCAGTATCTTCCTGTGGACACATACTTTAAAAAAACGAGTTTCTTATAGTCAATAAGCACACACTTTTAAATTAAAAAAATAAATAAATAATGAAGGGAGATATACCCACATATCGTTTTTTTCCCCACTAATGGCAAACTTCTATTTTGTAGCTTCAACAACCCATGAAGAGCAATGATCAATTTAGACTGGTAACAGGCACAGGAGGATTCCTTTAATCCAGCAGCTATGGCAACGGTTTGCCTCTCAGGGCCTCAGAAGACCAAAGTCAATCATCTCTTTCTACTATTGTCCTAAATATGTGTTGTCTTTAAGGAGCAGTGATTAGCTTTGTTAAATAATTTTTTGAAATTCTGCTACTCCATGTTACAGTCTTCATTATTCCAGGGGCTTTGCTGGAGGATTATGTTCTAGCTCTTCTTATTCTTCCCCTTCTTGGTATCAACTTCCACTTCCTTCAGTTAAAGTAAGAGACAGTCTCACAACATTTCAGTTACTTTTGCATTTCTTCTCATGGGATGGATCCTTGTGCTCACCATGGAAAACCCAAAGCAGCAATGATACTCCAAGTCCATACTTTCTGGGCATGCTTTCTCTGTTCTCTGTTGCTTTAACAGAGGAAAGATACTGTCAATGTGAAATTTTTCACTTTTTTTTTTAATGGCATCATGAATAATAAGAAAAGATAAATAGCATTTGGGGATAAAGTCACTAAAGACCTTGATAGACATAAAGAAGTTGGAAAGGTATTTATTGAAAAGGCCAGCTAAATACTGCCTTCTATACTCTCCTACTTTATATATATATATATATATGCAGTCTTCAATCTGCTTGGACCCAGTTTCCAAGTCATAACCACTTCTCAAATTATTTTTAGAAAGAGGAACTCTTTATATTAAAACCATGCTTTGCTTTTCCATTATGCCTATAAATGTGCGAGTAACACCCAGATATTCTTAATACAGTTATTACTCACAGAGGCTTAGGATGGGATCAGGCCTTTCCAACACAAATGACTGAAGATTATCTGTCAGGAGAGACTCAAGTTAAAAGGGATTTGGTGAACGTTCATGTCACTGTTTTGAAAAGAAAATGGGCTATTTTGGAAGAATATTGTTTTGCTCCCCACAGTCATGCAACTTCACAAGAAATGGCCTCCTTCCTCCTTTGTCTTCTGCTCCCACCACTGCAACCATGCTTCATGGAGTAGACGAAATGATCTTTTGTAACTGTAAACCAGAACAAGTCATGGTCATGTCCCTGGTGAAAACTGTCTAAAGACTTCCTGATGCCGCGAGAACCAAAGCAGGCTCCTTCCCAGGACTGACATGGCCCCATGTCGACTTCCATGGTTTCATGTCGCTAATCCTCTCCATCTCTGGGTGGCACCGATGGTTAACACACCTGCCGCTGAGAATTGGACGCTTTGGCCTCAGAAGAAATGCCTGGCGATCAACTTCTGAAAAACCAGCCACTGAAAACCCTCTGGGGCCCAGCTCTCCTGTGACACACACAGGGTGGCCCTGAGTCAGAAGCCACATGGCAACTGTCTGGAATGTTTTCTTTGTTGTTGTTGGTGGTGTTCTTCTCCTTAGCTCTATAGCCTCCCGGATAGTCACTCCGCTCAAACAACCATCTGGTTCCCAGGTCAGGCTAAACCTTTGCTGTTCTCTCTTGTCTGGAACCAGTTTGCAGTGCTGACAACTTCTGTCCAATCAGATCTGACAACTTCTGTCCAATCAGATCTAAGCTCCAATGCCACCTTCTCAGAAAGCTATTTCAAAATTCCCCCTGTGAAGTCTGTGTTCAGGGGCTGAGATCAGTGCTTCCAAGCACCTGCGTCTGGAAAAGATGTCTCTGGAGCCAAGAAACCTTGGAAAGTGTTGCTCACCTTTGAACCATGTGTTTATCAAAACACCAGATCCCCATGCGTGTCGTCTCAATGTTCCACTGGATAAAGCATTAATGAAGTCTTCACTTTTGTCTGTTTAAGGGTTTTTTTCTGGACTGTTTACATCATCTCAGTTCAATGAGTCACTGCATTGGGAAAGTATAGTTCAAAGAAATTCTTAGAATTTGAGTAACACCAATCCCACCCAGAAAAACAATTAAAAAAAAATGTCCATTCATGTTGTTTATTCATCAAATAAGCAATTACTGCACATCTCTTACATGCCAGGCATTCTTCTAGGCCTGCAGGGGATTCTGTAGGTAAAAGTCTTTGCTCCTTGGGGTTTTTCACTTCAGTAGGAGAGCAGGCACTCCACACCGGGCTTCCTTCGTGCAGGGAGCCAGGTAAGCTCTGCGGAGGTCAGGTTTGAGCAGGTGCAGAAGGGAGTCATCTTCTCCCACACACTTTAGGTTGCTGAGAGTCAGGGGAGAGAAACATCTGCTTTCCTTCTTGCTGTTACACAGATTTCACTCCTGTGGAGGTTATTTTCATGATTTCTGACATCGTTTCATGAAAAACAGAACAAGTAGCAAACCTGAGTACTATCTACAGAATATTGAAAAATTCTTCATTCCAAATTGGACTTCTCTTGTCCTCTTGCAAGGAGCTTAGATGGTTCAACAGCTAAGTATTGACCACTAACCAGAAGGCTGGAGGTTCGAATCGACCCAGCTGCTCTGCAGGAGAAAGGTCTAATGATTCGTTTCCATGAAGATGATGGAAAACTCTACTCTGTCCCATGTGACCCCAGGAGTCAGAGTCTACTCGGTGGCACCAACAATAACAAGAACAAAAAGAAGAATGCTCTTGCATCTGCTATTGAAAATAAAGGTCAAAAACAAATAATATCATGATAATCTCACTTTAAAACTCTGATCAAAAAAACAAATAATATTATATTTATATCTCACTTCAAACAATGTGAATATAGAAATTTGCATATTGTTGAACAAGATGTTCTACTATGACTCTTATTTATTTGATGATGTGTTCATCAACAATGGCAGAATCTGAATGGGAAACACAAACGTGTGAGAATCTCAGGCACTACTCCTCACAGGTTCTTACCGAGGTAACTGTCGAATGTCTCCAGAATAGTCTTCGTATTTGTAGTTCACCACATACCACTGGGAACTATAAAATTTACAAGCCTGAAAGAAAACAAATGACAACTTAAAAACTGTTTATATATATATATATATATAAAGTCAGCTATCCTGGTAAAAAGCAGAGTGAACACATTCCCTCATAATCTCCGAGTAGTGTTAAGGTGGCCATGTTAGCGATTTTAAGGTAGGGAAGCGGAATGCTCTTTATAATCATTTTTCATTTTCGGATGCAATTACAAACTGAACTTTTCTAGACTCTTGTGTCTGGAGAAGATCCATTTACCACATTTACTCTGTTTCACTTCATCAAGGAAGGTCTAAGTTAATCACCTGCTGAATCATACCGGAAATGGTGCTAACCACCAGGCCAGTCATCCTGCAGCTTTCCTTGGCAACCGTTTCCACGCTGTTAACAGTTCTTAGGGGGGAGAGATGTTCTTCTTGTCGATACGCAGTCACTCTGTCAACACTTTAGCCCCTTTCTTCTTGTTCTTACTTCAGTAACTAATCCTTTCCCTTTCCGTTTCCACCCCCTTGTCAGCCTGCAACAAGTTTTTCAGTTTCATTTAATTGCCCTCTGAGGGCTGTTTTCTCCATGATTATTCGTAGAAAACATTTGAAAACAAAGTTAATAGCACAAAAATCATTGTCTTATATTGATGGATGCATGAGGGCTGATTTTACAATGCTTATCAACAGCAAATATGTCCCTAACACCTACTACGCACCCAGCACAATTCGTCAGGGGGATTTCACTGAATGACTTTAAAGACTCCCTTTAATTCTCAAATTTCATGATCCTGCAGATTAAACAGCTAACACTGGGATTACGTAGACGATCTTGTCAGCTAGCCTTAGTGGAGAAAAGGGAGAGCAATAAACTTACTGAGGGGCTCTGGGGACATAGTGTGTAAGGCATTTGACTGCGAACCAGAAGGCCAGCAGTTCAAACCCACCAGCTGCTCTGCGGGAAGAGATGAGACAATCTATTTCTGTAAGGATTTACAGCCTTGGAAACCCAATGGGCATCGCTATGAGTTGGAATGGACTCAATAGTAGTGTTTATTTATTTATAAATAAACGTATTGCACTGTGAGGAATAAAGTCCTTGTAATCTAGAAGGGGAAAGGTGACAAATCCTTTATTTGGGAGAAATCATTGAGAACTACTGCAGCAAGGAAAGGAAGGGGGGTGGGGAGGCGTGCAAGAAAACGGCCCAGAAGGCAGCCTAGAGAAGTTGACAAAGACCATGGGGTAAGAGCATATGGTTCAAGATGCATGGAAAAGGCTAGACAGGGGCTCGTGTGTCTTGGGCCTTGGTGGCATAGTGCCTAAGGCACTTGACTACTAACCAGAAGGCTGGTGGTTCAAACCCACCAGCTACTGCTTGGAAGGAAGATTGGGCAATCTACTTCTGTAGAGATACTGCCTTAGAAACCCAAGGAGGGGTTACTATGAGTTGGATCTGATTCGACATCAGTGAGTTAGTTCGTTTTAGTTGGTATCCATTCTGCGTTTCTCAGGCCTTGAATTCTCTCAGCATCACTGCTGTACTCGTTCAGAGAAGTACCCACACCCCAATCACAGTCTGAGAGCTAAACCTTCAGCAGGACAAGGACGAAGATAGGAGTAGGAGCATGGCAGAAGCGGGTGCGTGAGAAAAGAAGAGATTAAAAACAAAACAACAGGAAAAACCATGTGGAGAATAAGAGTAAAGAAATGAGAATTCAGGGAACTGGCAGAAACTAGAATGGATGGAGAAGGGGAGTGTGAACAAAACAGAGTATTTAGTTAAAATAAATGTATTAACTACACAAGTCCTGAGCCAGTTCTGCAAACCGCACGTCTCTGGAATTAGAAGTCTAAGCCTTAACATGCTCCTTAGCTAAAAAGTTCTATTTTCATTTCAGATAAAGATTCTAGGAATTTTGGCCAAAGGCATAGCTCACGGTACCCCCCAGCCATGCAGTCAGCAGTTTCACATCAGGGCTCTTTCTCACGCTTGCTCTGTCTTCTTCTCCCCTGCCCGTGTATCTTACTGTTAGATCTGAGAGGAAAGGAAAAGTAGTTTTTAAATGGAAAACAAAAAGCCGTAAGCCCACGTTTCATATTTGGATGTATCTCTTGTCAATGATATATTCCTTCATAGTTTTATGTAGTTCCTTCCTAAGTATATACTTGATTTTGAATATTGTTTTTCATTCACTTAAGAACATATTCCAGAGATTTTTACACTTTCTTCCTAAATTTTCTGACTGCTTTAAAGAAGTAGAAGGAGCTCTGGTGGCCTAACGGGTAAGGCATTTGGTTGCTAACCAGAATATTAGTGGTTACAACCCACCAGCTGCGCCACAGGAAAGAGATGAGGCAATCTGCTTCTGTAAAGGTTTACAGCCTTAGAAACCCAATAGGGGTCACTATGAGTCAGAAACGACTCCATGGCAATGGCTTAAATAACCAGAATAAATATCATATACTAATTTACCAACCCAGTTTCCTAGTTTCAGAGCTCATTCCTTCATTATTCTGTCCAGCAAGTGTCACTATGCCCTTCTTACTCTGTTCCCAGAGCTATTCTACGTAATGGAGACACACCAGTGAACAAAGGACAGGCATCTTTGCCCTCTTGGAACTTACATTATCGTGAGAACTAAATTAATTAAATTGTGTAATATATTACAAAATGGTAAGTGTCATGGGAAAAATAAAGGAAGGAGACTAGAAGGATTTGGGGCAAGGATGCCAATTTAAATACAATGGGTCATGTGGTTCTTACAGAGAATGAGCAAAGACTCAAAGGAGAGGAGAGACTGATGGCTAGTATGGCTGCTTCAAATTCTGTGCCATTGTAAAGAAAAAATGGTACTTCAGAGTCTATCTTCATGCATGTGGTCCTTCCACTCTCCCCAGTCCCCACTTAATTTGGATTATCTTCTTGGGGTAGAATACTCAAATTATTTAGAAGATTCTTGATAAAAATTGCCAAATCAACATACATTCTTCATAAGCAAAATGAGAATGGGAGGTACAACACTTAACTGAGAGATACGATGAGGCTTTGTTCTCATCCTGGGACCAGTTCTAATGCCCAGGGTGATCTTGGTAAAATCCTTTTCTTACGGAATTTCAGATTTAGCTATTGAACACACAGAATATTGGACTGGATTAGAAATTTGTGTCACATAACTCCTGTCTTGAAACTTGCTGATCTGGAGGTGTTACTGAGACACAGATGCATTGACCTCCTGGTTGCCCTTTCTTTCTTTTTTTTAAAAAATTGGGATTCGGGTGAAAATTTACAGAGTAAATTCACTTTCTGTACAGTAGTTCACATACACTTTGTCTCACGACATTGACCACAGTTTACCACAATGCAACAGCTCCCCTCCCACTTCCTCCTGACAGTCACCTCTTCCCTGTGACCTTCCCACCATGCACCCCTGCCCCTGAGCTGTCTCCCTGTGCATAAACAGCACTTCTTTCTCCCATAATTGTTCTCTCCAAGGAGTGTATCTACCTCAGGTATATGTTCAACTCCAATGCCTGTCTTTGTTTGGCTGGAAGCCACAGGTGTGGGTTCAATTCCAGACCTGAAGGGCAGCTGGGGCCATAGTCTCAGGGGTTCCACCAGTGGTTGCTCTTTTTGCTACTGATAGTACCTATGTTGAACCATGGTATACACATTTGCTCATGCATATTAAGGAGCCCTGGTGGTGCAATGGTTAAGTGCTCAGCTACTAAATGAAACACTGGGGGTTTGGACACACTCAATGTCTCTACTGAAGAAAAACCTGGCAGTCTGCTCCCATAAAGATTACAGCCTTAGAAACCCTATGGGGCAGTCCTAGTTTGTCACATGGGGTCACTGTGAGTCAAAAATCAACTTGATGGCACCTAACAACAACGACAATCGTGGTTATTACTCTCAATACTCACAGTATACCACAGGCTTACCCACATCTCGGACATGCTAATCCTGAATACTGCTGACAACAAATGAATGTGGTACTTTCTTATATTAGTTAAGCAGAGCCTAGTAAAGACCTACTTCATTGTGTTCTTGTTGGAGAGGCTGTACTACTAGGTGCTTTCCATGTAGTCTTAATAAGCTCTATGGAATTTTATCTTTCCTACTGTAACCAATTCTCAGTGATTTTCTAGATCCCTGAGGCATGAAAAGGCATAGCACTTTGCCCAAGATCCTACAAATGCCAGAAGTACTATTTCAGCCTGGATTTTTCTGACACTAGAAATCATTCAACTAACTGATGAATTACTTGTCGGCTGCAGATTTGAAAAAAAGATATCTAAGCCATCATTCCAGATATATTGTATGGTGTTTCTGTTTGAGATCTGGTTCTGCCATTTATTAGCTGTGGTATCTCAATTAAATAGCGTCACATCTTTAAATAAATATTATTGTTGTTGCTATGTGCTGTCGAGTTGGACCTGACTCATAGAGACCCCTCCTTGGGTTTCCAAGGTGGAATCACTACGGAAATAGATTGCCCAACCTTCCTTCCGAGGAGTGCCGAGTGGGTTTGAACTGCCAGCCTTCTGGTTAGCAATCAAGTGCCTTTGGTGCTACACTACCAGAGTTCTAAATAAATAACAACATGTCGAAATTTCTCTGCCTGTCTATATAATACCAACTTCATTTGGATCAAATCAGCTAAGTCTTATAAGTCACCTAGCACAGGAGAAGCACTCGAGAAGTACTCAAGAAATACTTGCTTTTTAAAAAATCAATTTTCTCATCAATTTTGATTTAATCTATAATTCACATTCATATGAAAAACCTATGGCTGATGGATTCAAACCCCCGACCCCTTGGTTAGCAGCCCAGTGCCTTATCCATGGTACCACCAGAGCTCTATATTCATAATAGTTAATAATGCCAACTGTTTTTCTTGATTTATAAAATGGAGAGATGTATTAGCTCTGATTAGCGGTGTTCTTGTTTAATCAGCTTCCTTCTGCATTTGTCTACTGGGTTTCATGTATTGAATGGTAGGCAGATGAGGACCAACACCGAACTAGAT